TTTTATCCTTGCCCTGTTTCTGGGGTCAAGCAGTTATGTGGCTGGATGTGAAAGGGAGATGTTTGCTTGGGATTTTGGAGTTAGGATCTGCTGGGCTGCTATATATACGTCGATCCAGGAACATACCATTGTTCAGCTAAAGGTGTCAATTGTCCTGTAAGTCATATGTTAGCAAATAGGAACATTTTTATTCACTTTATGGATCAGAATTCAGTCCTCACTTCCATGAGTTATATAAAGTTTCTGGTTCATGTCCAGTTAAACCAAGATATAATTTTTTGTTACAAGAACAAAAGCTGCACCGTGCTTGCATTCATGGTTTCTTCTCAAACATCATCACTAGTTTTTTTTTGTTTCTGCAAAGTTGCAGTCAGTTGGTGGATACAACTTGATTGCACTTACTATGGTAGAAAACCCATGTTTAAATAAACATGCAGAGAGCTGCAAGGGTACATGGCAGCGACCTCAAATTGGATTAAGTCTGAATTTCTACAGGAGTACTTTAATAAACAATTGTTATGCTGATATGCTCCACTTAGTATGACAGACATCTCATTTAATATGCTTGTTTTTCCTTCTTTCTGCAGATATTAGGGGTTGAGAGCACAGCTTCACAACAGGAGATAAAAAAGGCATATCACAAGTTGGCCTTGCGTCTTCACCCAGATAAGAATCCTGGAGATGAGGTAGGATTTCAACCCTGAACCTTTGTTGTAGTAAATACGTACCATGTATCTGAATTGAAATGCTATGTGTTGTCAGGAAGCCAACGAAAAATTTCAGCAGCTGCAGAAGGTGATATCTATTCTTGGAGACCAGGAGAAAAGGGCATTGTATGATGAGACTGGAATTACTGATGATGATGTGAGCACCTAATCCTAGCAATTTGGTTTCCACCTTTTAAGTTTCTGTGTTATATTCTTGAATCTTTTCCCTTGTGTTAGGCACTGGTTGGAGAAGCTGCAGACAATCTCCAAGCGTACTTCAGAACAGTGTACAGAAAGGTATGTGTTTGCTCCATGCCAGTGAGAACCTTACGTTGCCCATTTGCTTATACAATGCATGATGAACTTGCTTTGTCTAAATTATTCTCAGGTCACAGAGGCTGACATTGAAGAATTTGAAGCTAAGTACAGAGGGTCAGACTCTGAGAAAAAGGATTTAAAGGAACTGTACACAAAATTTAAGGGCAACATGAACAGGTGATTGATGCTGGATTAAATGTTTGCTCCAAAGCTTGATAAACTGCAACTGAACAACTGTGTTTCATTTCCTTTTTTCTAACTCTCTGCCTTTTTGTGCAGACTTTTCTGCTCTATGATTTGCTCAGATGCCAAGCTTGATTCTCACCGCTTCAAAGATATAATTGATCAGGCAATTGCTGAAGGTAAATAATCATATACTGTTGCCACTATGATTTTTCCATATATAATTGATTTCTTGTCCCATTTTCTTCTACAATCTACAACGAGGTGCTAGTAAAGTGCTTGATTTTACATGTTTGACTCAACCGGCTCCTCAAAACCTCTGTATGCGCAATTATCTTACCGTCTCCTTTCTTTGTAGGCGAGCTGAAGTCCACCAAAGTGTATGCGAAGTGGGCTAAAAAGATTTCTGAGATAGAACCACCCACAAACCCATTGGAGAGGAGAGTGAAGTAAGTTCCCTACTAGCATTTATCCATCCCTTGAAACACTTCATTCCAGTTTGATCCTCTCAAGATACTAGTCGCTATCACCTGCTTATGTTAAGTCTGCACTGTTTTGTCTCCTGAAACTGCCATAGGAAAAAGAAGAGCCAGGAGAGCGACCTCATCCTGGCGATCTCGCAGCGCAGGGAACAGAGGAAGGAGCGGTTTGACTCTGTTCTGTCATCTATAATGTCCAAGTGTGACGACAACAAGGCGGGCAGCTCAGAGCCCACGGAGGAGGAGTTTGAGCGCGCTCGGCAGAGGCTTGAGAAGAAGCGCACCAAGGGGCGCAAATGATATGAATCTTGACATGCATGCGCAAATGATATGAATCTTGACATGCATGCAGGCCCTTCGAGAAAAAAATGGGTGTTGAGTGGACTGGAGTGGAGGGGTTGTGTCGCAACTCTAGTGTCGCTTTGTTTTATGAGTGGGCGTGTGTAAGTAACTGAATGCAAGTGTGGTGTGGTTTTAGATGTGAACAACTGTGGAAGTGTCCTGTCCCGTGAATGAAATGAAATCCTCGGCATGCCGGCATGGCCAGGTGATAGTCTGTTTAATTCGCGTATGATCAAAGTGGTTTTGATGCCTGCCGAAGGGAGGTGTGAGACGACAGGTTGTGGGTATGAATTATTACTATTCAACTGATCAAACTCATTGATACGCGGATTTTTAATCAAGCTGGTACTACTATTTTCTTCCTCAAGGGCAAGGGAATCGTTTGGTAATCCAATTCAATTGATCAAACTCATACCATGGGTTGATTAATCATCATATTAGATAGTTGGATGTTGATTAATCAAGCTGGTATTATGTGCCTAGTATCTAATTTATCTTAGATAGTTCGATGTTGATGTAGTGTAATGTAGTTGGTAATGGACTGTTTATTATGCTATGTATGGTGTTAATTTGGTAATGTTGTTTAATTATGCAATGAAGTAGTTAAATTTGCGTTTGAAATGATTCTTTATCAAGAAAGTGTGTTTGATTTTTTCTGGATATCAAGTCCTTTTTTTTGACAAAACGCTGACGGAGCAAATTTTCATTTCAATAAGTGAGAGGAGTTTTACAGAGGACTAGAGTATAGTAACAACATCTGCAGCGCCGCAAACAGCAGCAGCAGATATGGTCTATCCATTACAGCGCCGCAAACATTTACAGCGCTGCAAACAACCATTGACAAGGACCATGGAGGACGTCGTGGACAGCCTAGGATTAAGTTTTGGATGACGCGCTAGACGAAGAACACGTTCAATTCAGAATTAAAGGATGAGTAATGACAGAGAATTAAGTTACTATCAATGATCCATAGTACTTAGTGTTGATTTAGCATAAAGTTGTACTAAATCAACGATATTGATATGGATCGGGTGAGTACAAGGGATGGGCTAGTGATGCTCTTATATCGTGGTACTCGAACGTTCTTCACAGGTACTAGTGGCACCCGATCGCACTTGATTGAACTGTTACTGGGCACTGCTATTTCTGCTTGATTTTCTTCCTCCTGTCACAAGCTACTAAACAATATACTTCCACATTCTATGTCACATGAGATCAAAACGTGGAGGGGCAATCGTTTGATAATTGAATTCAATTAATCAAACTCATATTCCACGGGCCGATTAATCATCACCGTTCCATTTTTCGTCCTTGCTCCTCCATGGCTTCGTCCTCGGTACCTGAACACGCATAACACATCCATTTGAGGTAGCGGTCATGTCTCGCATATGGACTTAGGGCGCGTGCACGAGCTGTTGTCGTAGGTTCACCCGATAGTTGGGGAGTTGTGCAGTATCCACGGGATGACCGTAGGTCGTTTGATAATCAATCAAAACTGATTAAATTAATCAAACTCATATTCCGCGGGCCGATTAACCATCACCGTTCCATTTTTCCAAGCACACAAACGAAGGCAATGCCCTCCGCCGCACGCTCCCGCCGCGCGCTAATGGCCACCCGCACGGAAGCCGGGCACCCTAATTTGGGCAGGGCGGCAACCGACGGCCAGGCGAGGCCCTCTCATGGCCGCTCGCGCGCCCTACAAAACGCGGCGCCGCGCCACCCCACCCTCTCCCAGGCCTTGCAGAGAGCGACCGAGCCGCCCTCCCCCCACCGCCCCGCTCCCACCACCGGAATAAACCGCGCCTCGCCGGCCGACCTCTCCTCCTCGACCGCCTAGCCGCTTGCTGTTTGTTTCTTTTGCGCAGGCCCCGTGCAACCGTCCCGTACCCGCGAGGAGAGGGAGGCAGAAGCCATGGAGATGAAGAAGATCGCCTGCGCCGTGCTGATCGCCCTGGTGGCCTCCGCCTCCCTGGTCGCGGCGACCGCCCCGGCCACCGAGGCGCCGGCCGAGTCCCCCGGCGCGGCCGCCGGCGCCACCGCCGGAGCGGCCGGAGCGACCGCCCCGGCCACCAGCGGCGCCTTCGCCGGCGCGCCCGGCGCCGCCGCGCTCCTCGTCTCCCTCGTCGCCTACTACCTGCACTGAGACGGGCCGGAGCTCGCGCTCCCACGTTCCCACGCGGCGCCACGCAGACGCGTCGGTTGATTCAATTTAATTTAATTCCAATTCACCGATCAACTAATGACCACTCTATGATGATTACACCACACATTATCTATCGGTACTATGTAACTGCGCTTGTAATTCTTCTTTTCGGCCCGTTTGGTAAACTCAACCCAATCCGCGTCTGTAACCCGTGGCTAATGGCGCCGTGTTATCATTTCATTCGAACAATTGAATGATATTTGCTGTGATTCTATTCTATTCTACCTGTTCGTGTTGCCTCCGTCTATTCTTTCCTTTTTTCTTTTGATGATGACATCGGGTTCTTGATTAGCCTGTGGCAGTGGTGACGGTTGCCAACGGGCTTGTTTTGGTTGGAATCTTTGAGAAGATTATCGTTTTCGGAATCTATAGTCTTTGAGAAGATATATAAATTGATTGCCGTCAAGAGCAGGAAAAAAAGAATTCGACAAAACTGGTCGGGGGAGAAGGTGCAGTGAGCACCATGATTCATGCCGCACAGACCAGTAGTGCCACGATTTTCACGATTTCAATATGCCTTTTATTTATTTCAAATATATACTACAGTACAAATAGATTGAAATGCCACAAAGGCAGTTGAGCAGTTCGTGATTAGCATTTAGCAGTTCCCCTATTCCTCCCTCCCACCCATCCCCATCCTCCCTGATGATCCCTCCGCTCCACTAGTCGTATCTCCGCTCTCCTCCCACCCTCCCCTCTCCCCGCGCACCCGCTCCTCGGCCGGCGGCCCCTCAAACCCTAGCCCCGAGCGCGAGCGCGGCGGAGATGGAGCAGCACGTGCTGGTGGCGCTCGCCCTCTCTTTCGTCGGCGGCCTCAGCACCTCCCTCGGTACGCGCCATCCCGCCACGGATTCTCTCCCCCCGAGCACCAACTCGGCTGCTTGCCTGCTCGACCGCCACCGTGCCGCCTGACTTGAGGATTTTCAGTGTTTGCGCGGCCTTTTCGGGGATAATTCCAGCATCTTCTTGTTCGGTCGTGTTACAGAATTATTAGAAAAGGACCCAGTGCCTTGCTATTTGCAAAGCGACGGAGTTTTTTGCCGTGTTACATGAACCCAAGCAGGACAACTAGTCATCAATCGCCGCGGCCCAACATTCATCAGAATGCATAGATAGATGAAGCTAGTAGTCCAGGGGCCTGTCAGACTGATTTACAGAGCGCCAAAGCCAGTTCCACACTGAGGCTATTATGGCTTTCCTATCGTTTTTACGACGCTCAGATACAGGTAGTAACGGCAAACCTTGCTTGTTGGCCTAACACGGTTGCCCATTGCGCCTCCACGTCCTAGTTAGCAGTTTCTCATGCTTCTACTTGATATCCTGCGAGGATTCCTTGTGACCGCTTAAGCTGAGCCCGAGATTTGTGTCTTCAGGTGCGCTGCTTGTGATCGTCAACCCTTCCCCTGACCTCAAGAGGCTCGGCCTCCTCCAGGTCATCAACTGTCTTCTCATAAGTTATTGATTATCTGTCGTTTAGGTGAGTAGTGAACTAGTGATGGTTGTCTGATTGTTCGTGCTCTATGTATTGCTCATGCTGCATGCAGGGTTTTGCTGCTGGACTTATGTTGAGCATCTCGTTTCTAGACTTGGCACACAACGCACTCAACTCCATTGGCTTCTTGAAGGCCAATCTATGGGTCGGTTGGATCTTTCTTGCAGTTCTAGAATCTGTTTCATGAAATGAAATTTCAGTCTATCTCAGATAACACATTGCGGTATTTTGCAGTTTTTTGCAGGAGTTCTTTTCTTTGGGTTCGTTGTCAAGTTTATTCCAGAGCCAACCTTTGTGCCAACAACTGATGCAAGCAAGAAAAAGGTTGGAATGAACAATCCTCGGGGATGTTTCCAGCATCATTCATATCAAATCTGTTTTCTAACCAAAATAAGTTGGCTGAATAGAAGTTGGTTTTCTTTTGTGGAAAGCAGACTGATGATGACGGGTCGGGCAAAGATATGATGAAAAAACATCGCCGCCAAGTCTTATTCAGTGGCATCATTACTGCTGTTGGTAAGTTACTGCCTCTGTTTTTATATACTCAGCATATTTGCTTTGACTGAAGTCAAACATTCATCACAATCATTTGACTTTGTACTTATTCTGAGCTGCAGGAATTAGCTTGCACAATTTTCCCGAGGGAATGGCGGTATTTCTTGGATCCGTGAAGGTAATGCCGTCGTGCATTCATCTCAGTGTAGTGGCATCATTGATTTGCTGAGAGGACGTTCTGCACCTCGCATTTTGTTACAGTAGAAAAATTACTGGAGCATAGCTTGGTTGTTTTGGTTTTCAAAGAGTTCATGCACCTTATTATTATTATTTATAGCTTGCACTAATTATATTCGGTTATAACGAAAATGCAGGGTCTTCGCGTGGGAGTTAACTTGGCTATTGCTATTGCTTTACATAACATACCCGAGGTATATAAATCAACCTATCAGCCTTTCTGGTTAAGTAGCCTAAGAATTCTTATCTGCAGTTATATATTGCATCATTGGCAGTTTGGCACTTAGGATAGCCCTTGGGGTGCTCTTTGTAAGAAGATTCAACTGCCATAAAAAAATTGTTTGTTATACTGCACCAGGTAGTCAATATATAGGTTTGATATATGAAAGCTCAATCTCATGGCAAACTAATTCATGACAAGACAAGAGGGCCATGATGAATCTTAACTCATTTGCAGTGCTTGTTTTGCCATGAAGTTTTGAGTATTCTGATATTTGCTAGGTCTCCGCACTATCCAACTTCTATATTTTCCTTTTGATCTGTGTAGTTCAGTTTGATGCTTAGTGACCATACTAGAATTAGTTGGCATCAAACACATTATTATGTACAAGGGAGAGTTTGCAAATTGTGTTAGCAGGATCTATCACGGAAAATTAAATAATTCCATTTTATGGAGAGACATTCAAAAGAAGCTATAGTTCTACAAAATCGTACCCCCTCTTTCCCAAAATAAGTGTCGCTGATTTAGTACAAAGTTGTACTAAATGAGTTACACTTATTTTGGGACGGAGGGAGTATATCCGAGACTACTGACAGACTGACATGTTGCCAATTTTCTTTTTGATCTACTATCCTAACTAGTTGACACTTTTTACCTTCTCAGGGGGTTGCTGTAGCTCTGCCACTCTATTTTGCTACCAAAAGGTACCTGTTTTCCCCATGTAGAGATGAATAATTAGTGAAGTTTGTAGTTCACACCATCTTTCAAAACGAGTCTTGAGTCCACTAGCGCAAATGCTACGAATTCTTGGTTTTCTGCAGCCAAATGTTATAAGTTGGTTACACAAATATAAGTCATGCTTGTTATGCATTATTATTAAATGACATACAATCTTAGAACTTCTCAAATGTGGTGAGCCACTCTGATCTCGGCTATGTGAGCTTTATCTGTTCCTCCAGTCTTAAAGGGTGATTGGATTCCAAAGTACCTACAAGTAGGGATGAAAATGGAGTGGAAACTTTCCGTTTTTCCCGAGGAAAAATGGAAATGGAGAGGAAATATGAAAACGGAAACGGAAATTTACAAAACGGAAGTGGAAATGGAATTTTTTATGCGGAAACGGAAACAAAAATGGAACGGTGTTTTCCGGTGGAACATGCATGGAAACGGAACTTTTCGTTTCCGTGGATATGGAATTTCTGTTTTTACTATAGACCTATAGCTGCTTTGTAGCCCAACCACCAAAGAGAACACAATGACACAATTAGTAGAATGGATCTGAGGCCCAACTTCTACTACCACACATGTACTCAGCTTGACCCTATACGCAATTGTCCGGTACTACTACAATACTACGCTAAGTTGCTAACATAATGATATTATTTTGTAGCCATGTTAACAACTCATTAAATTTGTTTGTTTTTGTGTGTATTTCTCTATGATTCAAGGGGTTTTTAAGTTCCGATCAATGCCTATTTCTGTCTCCGTATCCGCTTTGTATTCGCTCCGTATCCGTTTCTGGTAGTATATGTTTCCGTATTCATTTCCGGGGCTCCGTATGCGTTTCTGGTAGTATATGTTTCCGTATTCATTTCCGGGGTTTCTGTATTCGTTTCCGCTTCTGCAAAAAAATGTGAAAACAAATATGATAGCACTCAGTTCCGTCCCTTTCCGCTCCGTTTTCATCCCTACCTACAAAGCATGACCATGTTTGAAATCATTGTACTTTAGAACGAAGGGAAATTAGAATTTCCCTTTATAGCTCAATATTTCCTTTTATTCCTATTGTCATTATTGGACTTACTTTTTTGCAGCTGATAATGTTTCTCTGTGTTTCCTTCTTTCTTGCATATCAAAGCAAATGGCAAGCATTTAAATATGCAACACTCTCTGGTTTGGCTGAGCCACTAGGGGTATTTTTTGTAGGTATGCTATTTTTGTGAGCCTTTCTGTAAGTTTATTCTTTAATAACCTATCGACCACTGATGCCAAATGTGATTACTGCAGCTGTCTTGTTTCCGAGCAACTTAAATCCTGAAATTCTTGAAGGCCTACTTGCATCAGGTTAGTCTGTTAGTAGAGCTAAACCGTGATATTTCATGCTTAGTACTTTGTTGACTTCCCATTTGTCTTTACGCAGTTGGTGGTGTTATGGCTTTCCTCACTTTGCATGAGTTGTTACCTCTAGCATTTGACTATGCTGGTCAGAAGCAAGCTGTCAAAGCAGTCTTTGTTGGCATGGCCGTCATGTCTGCGAGGTTTGTTGATGTTTCTGCACAAAGGACTTGTCTGTATAGTTCTGAAGCACTTCTACTCTGTGATTTGAGAAAAAACGACTAATATCCATGTTAGAGGGTGGTAATTGAGTTCTTGTATTCTACTCCCTCTGTTCCGAATTACTCGTCGCAGAAATGGATGTATCTAGATGTATTTTAGTTCTAGATACATCCATTTCTGCGACGAGTAATTTAGAACGGAGGGAGTAGGTGACAGTATCGTACTCCCTCCGTTCCAAAATAGATGACTCAACTTTGTACTAATAGTACAAAGTTGAGTCATCTATTTTGGAACGGAGGGAGTAGGAGATTGACATCATATGTTGTTGGCAGTGAGTGCATCGTAGAGAAAATGAGTAATGACTTATGTTCTATCATCTATAGGGTGAATTTATGGCATGAAGGTTGCATTAGTATAATAATATGTTTGCAGCAGTGTTTGACAATAGGCTTAAACATACTGGTCCCTTCACCCAAACAAAAATATTGACCTGAGTAAATTCGGTCGGCAGCCATATGCATTAATGTGATCATCAATAGTAACCTGTCATACGCATTCACAGTACAAATGCATAACCTACATTCCTTCACACTTCCATGTACTCCCTCCATAAAGAAATATAAGAGCGTTTAGATCACTATGTACTCCCTCTGTTCGGAATTACTTGTCGCAGAAATGGATGTATCTAGATGTATTTTAGTTCTAGATACATCCATTTCCGAGACAAGTAATTCCGAACGGAGGGAGTACATGCTAATTTTGACGCAAAATTGCTGTTCATTATTACGGTTATTATACATGGCCCCATGCCTTGAAAGCAGAGGACATTTTTATATTTTTGAAAAATAAGCAGCACACATTATTCTTTTCTCTACATGCCTAATTCGCGATTCCACATTGGCAGCTTGTATTTCCTGGAGATCAGCCTACCCAAGGAGATCAGCTTGTAACATATGACCGCACCGCTGCAACTATACCAGCTGTTCATAGTGTCCTCTGAAGCCTGAGAACTTCGCCATACATCAACCGTTTCTTGCGATCTGCAAGGCAAGGGGCGTGGGGTTTGGAAGGTTCGTTGCTCAGAAGCAAGAATTATGGCCAGAACGTTGCATTGGCCACGTGTAGCATACACTATTACTCCTGGTCATTGTGTCTGACAGTTTTACTAGGAAAAAACAGCAGTGTGGCGACCCGTATGTGGTGGCTGGACATCCCTCACTTTGTTGTTTCAGAAAACCATATGTGGTGACGGGTATCTGAATACAACCATCGGGCTTGTTGTCCAGTAACAGGATGCAACTAGAACAGATTTGCGGTTCTTTTGTCAATTTGACACGTTAAAAACCTGCCCACAATCATGGCCTGCAGGCTGTAATTGCCCTGTTAACCCTTGATTCTGTTCCAAGTTTATACATCTTCAATTTCTTTTGCTCTTGGCATGGAGTATTTTTTTTAAAAATCTTGCTTTGGGTTATTGTTTCCAAACAGCCTGTTGCAACTTTGGTGCTAGAATTTCTAGACTGGGTCTACTTAGATTATGATTTCATCCAAAGGTAGGGGCAAAAATTATGAACCGTAGGTGAAGAATCAATCACCTTCACCAAGTTCTCTCTCCTGCCATGACTGTTTTGCTGTCGTTCACAATACCCCCGATTGAATTGCAAGATGTTGCGCATGAGTATCGTAGTTAGTTACAATTCATAACACGACAAAGTTCGTAGCAGATTATCATTACAAACTTGGAGACGAGGTAAGTCCTAGCTGAACATGGTGACATTCCCAGGAATATAGGTTGGCCAAATTGTTCAAAGTTTCAAACCACCTCGCAAGGATGGGTACCTGGAGGCACTGCATCACATGCAGACTTGGCTTGCTGGATTGAGGCAAGTGTGTGCACATTACTTACACAGGTCGTCAATTTTGATTTCTTAGCTCAAATTTCATATCAACAAAACGCCGCAGTTTGTCAGCTGGAGAGCTTTCTCTGGTTGCGGCTTCCAGCAAAGTTTACAAGATTGAAGCAAAGAACTGTATATGTTCAGGCAATCTGGGCTACACAAAATTTGCTTTGCGGAAACTTGTATCGACATCGCAAAGACAATGGCACTATCCCTACCAGTGCAAGTAAATCAGATTAAGGCTGACAGAGATCAAACAACAGCCACCTCGATAATTTAATTTCTGTGCCCAACACCAAAGTGAAATCGTCTTGCTTGTTTGTCATTGAAAGCGTATTCAAGTCTCAAAGGTCCCAGTGGGGAGTCCACACGGATACCAACACCATACCCGTAGCCGCTTCCTGGCTTCCCACGGGCCCCTGCTGGGTCACCTAAAAGACAAAACGACGATAGATTGCGCAAGTGAGAAGAGGTTTTTGTGAGAAGAAGAGCTAATACATAAAATCTGCTCTTCGAAATCTGGAGGTGGAGCCCTGTCAGGCCTGTTCCAGCAGCAGCAAAATCTTCTAACTAGAATAAGGGTTAAAAGCAATAATTTTCTTCATTCTGAATCTAACGTGGCTTCGAGAATTTGAGTACAAGTACAGAACTAGCCTGCTTTAGAGACCACAGACCTGGACTAAATTATACTATCACAGCAAAATGTGAGTACAACATGACTTACCAGGAACCGTTGGACCAGAGCCAAGATCACTACCATAGTCACCAAAGACAACACCTTCCAAGGGACCAAACTACATGGAAATGACAACTGTGAGTAATCAAAGCAGGCTGATTTTTTCTTTAATGCAAATCATACGGCAAGCATGACATGCATCAGAGTATCACAAGAACTAATCAAATGCATTTGATTTCATTTTTCTTTAATGCAAATGCATTTGATTTCATTGCAGGTAGCAATCATGAAAAGTCCACGATTAAAGTACTAATTTTCCAGCCATGAAATCATGTATGACAAGTAACAAATCATTGGATCGTTGACACAAGTATAGAAATAATTCCAAATTGGTAGTCATTGAAACAAATATAAGATAGCGAAAACCATGATAGTGTTAGCATAAATCAGGTGACGGAGAACTGAAGTAACAGGCACCATGCATGCACACGTACCTGGTCGCACGCGTGCATGATGCAGTTAATAGGTGTCCAGCACGGATTTGGAGATGTTACACTGAACTTCATGTGTAGTTTTTTGTTGTTGTCTCAAACAAAATAATCGATTTACTGTTACATTCTTAAATACGAGCAAATAAGACTTCATCTTAAAATTGCAAACTAATTCAAATACTACACTTATAGTTTCTTCTTGATATGCGTTTATTGATGTTGCCGACTGTTTTTTATAAGAATTTCTTCTTGATATGTGTGTATCGATGTTGCTGACTGGTTTTTATGAGAATAGCATATGGTTGTGTGCATTTTATCTAGAGGTGTTTCATGTAAATGTTAAGTTTAGACAAATAACTTAATATTGCCAAAAGAGAGGCAAGGCTTACCAAGCGGCAAGAGACTTCACCACTACCAACTGCATATGAGCGGCCAGAACCAACAGCACCTTCTTCATATCCTCTTACACTGTTTGTCCCACCAATTGCAAATGCTTCATGAGGCGAAAAGTTCCCCTCCACATGACCTCCAGAAGCACTGGATCATAGTATAAAATGATGTATCAGGTAACATAACAACAAAATGTAAGTCCACTGTGTGGAAACGTCCAGGTTAAACTGATGTTTTCACTCTTGTCCATCAACGGCACGGCATGCACTAAAACATACCTTAGAAGAAGTCGGGCAGGACCAATTTCATAGCTCTGTCTCAAACGGGCTGTCACTCTGTTGAAACTAAGCCACTCCGGAAGAATGGGCAGACCTTGCTCGACGTTGAAAACAAACTGGAAGTAGTAACAACAGTAGGATATAAGAAACTGTCACGGCAAGATTAGAAAATAGTAAAATGCAGAGGATAAAAACTAACCATTGTAGAGCTATGGTCTCCAGAGTCTGTGTAGACACTTTCAAGCTTAGCAAGTAACGTGTCATCATAAGGATTGCCGCTGCATTTTCATGACAGGACCATCACATTTCTAATAGTAACTTAATCTGACAACTGTATTCGTGGTGTACACTGTTATGTATATACTTGTGGTACAAACTAAAGTTGAATGAGAAATCAGGATTTGAGACCTTGCAGTTAATTGGCTGTTATAGAAATCTCTGATCATAGGGTTGCCTTTGTCATCACGAGCACCAGCATGCTGCATAGAAAGTGTCAACAGAACACAATTAGGCTATTTTTATGGAGAGGTAAGCAAAGGAAACAGTAATGCATATTTATACGGTTCAATCAACAAAGTTAGTACCGACATCACACAAGTACACGACTCTGTCTACTTTAGACTTTTGCTAGCAGGCCTACATGCAGGGGGAAAGGTGAATCGATTACTACAACTATTATTCACGTGTTTACCTGAAATATCAATCCAAGAGTACCACTCCATTTAGGCCTGAAAGGTCGACTATATTCAATGCCAGCAGTTACCCGTCCAATTGTAATAGGACTATGGTCAGGATGCTCCCCACCATGGATAAGTGTTCCAGGGGTCCTAGAGTTCTGACAAGGAAAACTATCATAAGCGCATGCACATGATTCGCAGCTGATGGAATCATGGAACTGTGGTGATATCATACTAAAGGTAAATACCTGAACCATGACAGTTCTGGAGGTCCTCTTATTGTCACCGTCAATCCAAGGGTCAGTGTAGTTTAAACGAAATATAGAATCTATTTGGCCCCTCTCTAGTGAGAGATTCAACTTCTTGTTCCTTCCAAAAACATTCCGCTGAGAATATGCAAAGCTGTTTAAAAATTCCAGTGTGAGGGAAAAAAAATAGATGTAGAACTTCCTGTAGGCAGGTACAAGATCTAAAATACATAACAAAATCTTATAGGCTACATATGGTATTAGAAATCCTGTACTGAGTAAATAATAAAATTAAAACCAAAATCTACAAATTGCCAGTTCATAAAGGCCTTGG